ATGTTCTGGTCCAGTATTGTATTTACTGACAGTTGCAACTTATCAGTCACTTCTTCACTAGTGTCTCCTATCGCTAATGTGGCTGTATCATCCGTAAATGTGGCAATAGTGTTTTGTTATAGCTCTGGAATATCACATGTATACAATAGGTACAGGACCGGACCAAATACACTCCCTTGTGGCACGCTAGCTTTGATCTCCCTTAAATCGGTGTACACTTCTTCTTGTTTTACTTTGAAATATCTATTTAACTGGGAATAAGCCACATTTAAAGGTAAAAGTACGTTTATTGACGTTTCAATTTCCACTTCGGAAATCGTTTTCAAAATACAAAGAGTAAATTAAACAAAAAAAAATTGTTTAATTTACTGTTTGTATTTTTAGAACGATTTCCGAAGTGGAAATTGAAACGTCAATAAACGTACTTTTACCTTTAATTGTGACTTATTCCCAGTTAAATAGTAATTAATTTAAAATGCCACAAGAAAATAGCTTCAGAACAATATTGAAATATCTATTCGCAATGTATAGTGAATGATGTAAGTCGCATGAACCCCTGGCATGAGGGTTTATAGATTAAATCCTCATGCCAGACTTTATCAAACGCTTATACTACGTCCAAGAAGAATGTACAGTAGACTTTCTTCTCCTCTAATGTTTCATCTTTTTTTTTTTTTCTAACTCGGCCATTGCCTGGTCCCAAGTCCAGGATGAGAAAGGAGGAGGGTTAAGCAAGGGACTAACTATTCCTTCTTGTAAAAAAACATAGTTATGAAAACGAAGCACATGCCTCGGATAAGGACGGATCTTTTAAGACGACAAAAGCGACGACAAAGGACAATGAATATAGGAACCTGGAACGTACTAAGCCTATATCGGCCTGGAGCCCTAACTCAGGTGGTCAAAGAACTTGAATCCAGAAACATGGACATAACTGCTTTACAAGAGATTAGATGGACTGGAGAAGGTACACTAAAAACTAATAAATCAGTAGTATTTTTCAGCGGAAGCGAACGAGAACATCAATTCGGAACTGGTTTTATAGTCAGGGAAAGTCTTGTGGGGTCAGTTTTATCTTTCAAACCCGTTAAGGAAAGACTTTGTTATATCAGAATCAAAGGACAACTACATAACTATTCCCTAGTTGCTGCCCATGCACCGACAGAGGAAAAGGAAGAGCATGTAAAAGATAACTTCTACGAGAAACTAGAGGAACTGATAAATAATTTACCTAAACAGGACATGCATATTATCTTAGGAGATTTCAATGCAAAGATTGGGAAGGAAGCAGCGTACAAACCAACAATAGGTAACCATAGTCTTCACGATGTCAGCAACGATAATGGAACAAGGCTAATAGACTTTGCAGCATCCCACAATCTACTAATAAAATCGACAATGTTTGAACACAAGAATATACACAAACAAACATGGGTCTCCAACGACGGCGTCACAAGAAATCAGATTGATCATGTTCTAGTAGATGCCAGGAGGGGTAGTAACTGTCTAGACGTAAGAAGCCTAAGAGGAGCTGATGGAGACACGGATCATTTTCTTGTAAAAGCGAAGATAAGGACAAGAATAGCGTCCAAAAAAACACACAAGAATACACCAACACAATTATGGAATACCGAAGTTCTACGTAATAAGGAGACAGAACAGAAATTTCAAAAGGCTATAAAAATCGCTCTAGCACAGACAGAAGACTATAACAACATAGACTCAGCTTGGAAAAATATCAAAGTAGCTCTGACAAGCGTATCAGATGAAATACTAGGACACAAAAAGAAAACAACAAAAAAATGGTTCGATGATGATTGCCTGAACTCCATATTAGCAAGAAATATGGCTAGAAGGAACATGCTACAAAACCCCTCGCACAACAACAATGAAATGTATAGACAAAGAAGAACAGAGACAAGAAAACTAATGAAAAGGAAGAAGAGAGAGTATCAGGAACAAATAATCAGAGATATAGAAGAAAAAAGAAAGAACAAACAAGCGAGGCAGTTCTTTAAAGGAGTTTCAGATATCAAGACCGGGTACCAAGCAAGAACAGGAAACTTTCTTCAAAACGACAGTGGACAGCTTATCACTGATGATAAGGAAATCTTAAAAACCTGGAAGGAATACTTCTATCAACTATTGAATGACCAATCTAGCAGAAGTACATCAAACATAGAGGTACATACAGCTGAAATAGAAGACCAATACCCGACATACGAAGAAGTAATACAGGCAATTAAAAAACTCAAAAATAATAAGACACCAGGTAGCGATGGTATACCCGCAGAGTGCTTAAAACATGGAGGAGAAGCGTTGTACAGTTCGATATACAAGCTAATTCAAGACATTTGGCAAGAAGAAACAATGCCAGATGAATGGAAAGAAGGGGTTATTGTACCAATACACAAAAAAGGAAACAAAAAGCAATGTATTAACTACAGGGGAATAACACTCCTAAACACCACCTACAAAATCCTTGCAAACATCCTGCTAGAAAGAACCAAAACATACACAGAAGAAATCGTTGGAGATTATCAATGCGGATTTAGACCGGGCCGCTCTACAATTGACCAGATATTCACAATAAAACAGATAATGGAAAAATGCTGGGAGTTTGATCGTGAGCTTCATCAGATGTTCATAGATTTTAAACAAGCATTTGATAGAGTATGTAGGGACAGACTGTGGACAGCGATGCAGGAACTTGGCTTTCCAAAAAAACTAGTCCGGTTGATACGGATGTGTATGGAACGGTTACGATGTAAGGTGAGAGTTGGACAACAATACTCGGAGACATTTGAAATAAACAATGGACTAAAACAGGGAGATGCACTTTCACCACAACTCTTCAACTTAGCTCTGGAGCACATAATCAGAAGTGCAAGAATCGAAAAACCGAATACAGTATTTCATCGAGAAGGACCAAACTTACTACTGGCATTTGCAGACGATATAGATCTAATAGGAAACACGCGATTAAGGATGAAGGAGACTTTCGTAAGGTTTGAGAAGGAAGCAGAGAAGATGGGGCTCCAAATCAACGAAAACAAGACGAAATATATGTATATGAGCCGCAATAACCAAAGCAGAGACAGAATCGGTCAGAACATTACCATCGATGACTTTAACTTTGAGCGCGTTAGAGAATTCAAGTATCTTGGAACAACAATAACTGAAGACAATAACGGATCACAAGAAATAAACAACAGGATTCAGGCCGGCAACAGATGTATTTTTGCCCTCCAAAACCTTATAAAATCAAAACAACTAACACGACGTACGAAGATACAGGTCTATAAAACAATCATACGACCCGTTGTGATGTATGGAAGCGAAACGTGGACGATAACAAAGGCAAATGAAGAGAGACTACGTGTTTGGGAAAGAAAAATCCTAAGGAAGATCTTTGGTCCGGTGCTTGATGAAGCATCAGGACAATATAGGATAAGAACTAATAAAGAGCTTGAAGAACTTTACCCAGACGCCAACATCATAAAAGAAATAAAGTCCAGAAGACTCCAATGGGCAGGACACCTCAGAAGACATTCTGACGAACGAACAGTAAGACTGGTGTGGGAGGAAGTCCCAACTGGAAGGAGACCACGCGGACGCCCTCGTCTCCGGTGGCGAGATAATATAGCAGGAGACCTAAGCACTATGGGCGTGGAGAATTGGATGGAGGTTGCTCAAGACAGAAAACAGTGGAGGCATGTTGTCGAGTCGGCTAAAACCCACGAAGGGTTGTAACGCCACGGAGTAAGTAAGTAAGTAATGTTTTTTCTATTATATTCGTTATTCTGTAAACTTGATTAATAGTGGAATGTTTATTTCTGAAACCAAAATAATGATTTGGTATAAGATTTTTTCTTTATATTATTCGTTTTAATCTTTTCAATGAAAGATTTTCAAATAGTTTTGACATCACCGGAAGGAGTAATATTGGTAGATAGGATGTCACTTCATTAGGAGGGTTACCTGGTTTGGCGATCATGGCGAAATTCAATCAAATGTTGCACTTTTTTTAATATACTTACAGATTTACAGAATGACTGTTTGGGCAAGTACAGTTGTTTAAATAATAGCTCTCCGAAATAAACAAATTAAATAACTTGAAATTTAGAACATTTTAATACCTTATTAACTGCCACAATGTCAATTATTTAAAATAAATGTGGTATGAAAACATACAGGTATTAACATTAATAAATTACTGCAAAAATAAAGGTTTTTTGCATTTAACTTGGTGAACTGTATATGTATTTTAATTAAGAAACTCGAAAATTTAAGCATTTTTTAAGATCTCCTATTTTGATTTAAACCGTTTTTCTACAAAATGCGTACGAAACGTTTTACCTTTTCACTTTTCAAGATTGTTAAAAAACAAGCAAAATCAGCTGTAGATCTTCACGGATTTTTCATCAGCTATCCTTCATTATACCTTTTAGAACCTTTAAATATCCGTATAAAAATTTTATGTGAAATTATTGTTTTTTTCAAAGATAGACTGATGTATTTTACCAATTTCCACAAATAGCACAGAAAACGTAACCTTATACAAACCGTTTAGTAATATCAGAAAAGTGCAAAGATGAACATGGTAAAAAATTCGAGATATAAAAAGTACAAGCTTAATCGACGTTATAATTCAGAATATGTAGCTGAAAGGAATTGCAAATGGTCGATATTAAAACGCAAGGATTAGTAAGTATCAGAAAAAATCAGAAAAATTAATAAAATCTCGATTAACAGATGTTAAAAAACATACGCTACGAATAGACAACAAACGTAATGTATAAATACTGAAAAACCTAATTAAATCCTCTTCAAATTAAAATATTTCTCTTGTGTTCTTTTTCAGGCATAACGTGAACATTTATTCATTTATTCAAGTAACACTTGCGTTCCCGCAAATCTTAGGTATTGTCTAGCATGGAAGAAAATCAAGGATAAAATTTGAGCATTCTGAACATTCATAAAAATCAAATTGTACTTACCAGTAAAGCACCACCGTCCGGTAACTTTGGCGAAGATCAGAATTGAAACCAGAAGGATTATTAAAAGTCCTACAACTACTACAGCAATTATCGCCCCAACTCCTAGTTCAACACCTAAAAAGCAAAAATAAAGTAAAGATTGGGAATTTAAACTTAGTTAAACTATAACAGGCACAGGCCGTATTTATTATAGTACACTGCTGACCATAAAATTGGAATCACCCCGAAATTTAAAGTCATGTTAAAAAACTTCTTATGTTTTTAGATTGCAGATTAGTTTACTAATTGGTTAAAAAAATTGTTATTGCATAATTCCAATCAAATTATGGTACCAATGATCACCTCCATACAGTAACGACGCTCATTGAAAAATCTATAGAATACAACAAACCTCTTGTCCTCACTTTCATAGATTTTCATAAAGCGTTCAACACGATCGAAATAGACAGCCGTATAGAAGCAATGAATGACAGCAGCAATAAAAATAAAACGTGGGGTAAGGCAAGGAGATACATTGTCACCAAAATTATTCATAACGGCATTAGAGTATGCCTTTAAGATAGTCAATTGGGATCACAGAGGAGTACCAATAGACGGCGAAAAACTTAACCATCTCTGTTTCGCAGATGACATTGTCCTTATCACAGATGATTTAGGAGAAGCTACAGATATGTTAAATGAATTGGACTTTGCATGTTCGAAGGAGCGCCAAAACAAAGAGGTAGAACTGGTGGAGAAATATACGTATTTGGGTCACGAAATAAGAATCAGCAGGGATAACCAAACATGCAAAATCCAAAGACAAATTATTTTAGCGTGGACAGCTTTTGGAAAACTGCGAGACACAAACTTAGGGCCAACATACCAATTAGCCTCAAAAGAAAAGTATTTGACCAATGCGTATTACCAGTCATGACCTATGGGGCGGAAACTATGACTAACCAAGACTACGGCTTCGAATTGAGAGTGGCACAAAGACGAATGGAACAATCTATGCTAGGAGTGAAGTTGCGGGACCGAACAAGAAACGAAGAAAATTGGGCAGGCCATCTAGCGAGAATACATGACTCATGATGGACGAGTAAAATTATACATTGGAGGACAAGAGCAGATAAACGTAGTAGAAGAAGACCACCTACACGTTGGGCTGACGACATCAGGCGGATCATGAAAAATTGGCAACAAAGAGCACAAAATCGCAAAGAATGGAGGAGTTTAAGGAAGGCCTATGTCCAGCAGTGGTCATGATAAATGAAGGCTGGAGTATGATGATGATGATTGTTTCTGTGGTTTTATCTGCCGATTGCAAATTGTGTGTGTAGTGTTGTTATGGTAAATGTATTGCAATGAGCATAAATTTTGTTATGGCAAGAATTGTGGCAGCTGTAAAAGATGACTGTGGTTAAAGCGAATCTGTGAGAAACGTTGTTGTAAGACTCTTTAGTACACAACTAGTATGGCGGCGGTAAAAGTTTGGTTGATTCTGCGGTACATGGGCCAGAAGTAGTAATGAAAAAGCAAAGGCTTTTTTAGCATGGAAGAAAATCAAGATCATTGCTGAACACCTACCAGAGCAACGTTTTTAAACCTTACAACATTGATCAAAACGACTAAGATGAAAATGAAATCCTAAATTTCCTTGATATACCTTTTCAAATGGATCTTCCATTCAAAAAATTCTAACCTAAAGAAAAAAGACTCCTGGATATGACCTTGTTACTGAAAAAATCCTGCAAAAGTTGTAAAAGAAAACTATGCAGTACTTACTTATGCACATTTTCACAACGCGTGAAAAGTAGCAAAAATCATAATACCACTAAAACCAGGAAAATACCCCAAAGAACAGATCTCATATAGACCCATTAGCCTCTTACCTATATTATCTAAGCTATAGGAAAAAATGTTTCTACGTCGATTAGAATCAAAAATAAAAGAAACAAAATAATTCCAAAACACCAATTTGGTTTGTTTGCGTAGCAAACATTAAAAACTAGAACAAACACATCGCATAGTCAAACAAATCAGCACAGTTTTATTAATTAAATCTTGCCCAAGTACTTTTGCTTCCTAGAGCATCTTCAGGGGCATTTCGTCAATTTTGGGCTATCCAAAAAGCGCTGAATGTCATAAACATAAAATTAAACATAAAATTGTACATAACACTACACTAAACAAGGACAAACAAATTAAAATTATTTAAAAAAATAGTCGAAGCTACATTCTGGTCGGCAACAGGAGAAAGAATCTCTATTTCTCTCCTGTTGTACAAAATAACAGAATTATTGGATTTTACATCAAACATTTTACGTTTTGTATTAAATTAAAGTCACAATCAAAATATTTTATTTATAAACCAAATTAAGAAGTAGTTAAACTAAATAACATTTAACTTTCTGTCAAAGTAAGTGTTCGATATATCCACCATTTTCTTTAATTCATTTGTCAATACATTCCATAAAAGATCGTCTCATATTAAATAGCATCATTGGTTCTAAAGAAACTGCTGCAGTATTTATAAGTATTATAAGTATAGAATATAATAAATATAATATAATAATAAAGTATTCGTTGGGGATTTTTGTGAATTCAATAATTATATTAATATCTCACCACATGACCAAGGAATATGACTACTACGAGCAATCCAACGGTCAGGAAAGTTGTATTTAATTATGTTCTCACTGCCCTCTCTCTATAATGTGGTGGTGAACCATCTTGCATAAACCACATATTTTGCCTGAAGTTTCATGACAATTCTTTCAATAAATCAATAAAATCATTTTATAAAAAATGTAAATAAATCTCAGCATTCAGATTACAAGGTAATACAAATAGAAGGGTAATAAAAATTCAAATTACAAGGTAATACAAGGTAAACCATAAGATATGCATTTTAAACATGAATTTTAAATAAATGTACTCACTTATGGAGCGAAAACATTAACACTCACAAAAAAGGTAGTGAATAAGATTTTCGTGAGGGGGCTATGGAGCGCCAGATGTTGGGTGTTTCTCTGAGAGACCGAATCCAAAACAAACACTGGAAAATAGAACTGGGTAGAACGTTGCCTGATTATCAGACAACCGATGGACAAAAGGTATTGTCGAGTGAAGACCAAGACAAGAAGCAATACGGAGGAGAGGACGCCCACCAACTAGATGGACTGACGACCTGAAGCGTATTAGCAATAACTGGATGTAAGCCGCACAATACCTTAAAGACAGTTTAAAGTTTTCAAGTTTAAAGTTTAAAGAAATTTTAAAGACAGTTTACTTCTTTTTTATTAAAATTATAAAATACAAGGTGTTTCATTTAAACTTATTGACTTACTGTGATTTGAAGTTTAAAGAAATGGCACATGATTTGTGAACACCGTGTATTTAGAAATTCGACTTCGATACAAATTCCTAAAAGAACGTTATGTACTCTTTGTGTGCAAATATTTTCAAGACATTATGTTTGTAAATGGATGAGTGATTACTTTTGAAAAGTTTCCTTCTGTCAAAATTTTTGAAAAAATATTAATAACTCAAAAAATATGAAGTTTTGACCTATGGTACCATTTACAAATTTTATCTAGAACTTTACGTAGAATCTAAAAACGTAAGATTATACCAGATACTCTATTTAAAATCAAAGTTCTTGTTTATTTCCGGTATAACCGGAAGTGGCATGTCTGTCTAAATATTTTCTTTAAGTTCGTCATAACTTTACCTTGTTTATAAAAATTTAATAAATAATATAAGAATTTAATAGTTTACGTTACACTGACGACACAGTAATAAGCGTGTAGTTTACCAAGTGTTAACAGTATATTTCAATAAAAATATAGTCATTATGAATATAGTAATAGAAGTAGCGTATGACAAGTATCTAGGCATATGATTTACGAAAAATGAAGAACAAATAAATTAGATGAGTTGCCGCATAAAAATAGCAAGAGTAGCCTTTACAAAAAAGAGAGATATATTACTAGAAACAACAGATTTACTAATAGAGATACAACACTAGATCAAAGAATAAGATTATTACAATGCTAAGTATTCTACTTGATAATATACAGCATATATTATTATAACTATTGCTAGAACAGCTATGATGAAACTGGTAACAATTTGGAAAAATTCTAGCATAACGATACACACAAAACTAAGGCTGGTAAGGGCACTAATTTTTCCCATAGCCACATATGCATCCAAAACGTGGACCTTAAAGAAAGCGGATAAAAATATACTAGATGCTTTTGAAATGTGGGTATACCGCCGCATGATAAGAATATCCTGGATTGATCATCGCACTAACGTATCGATATTAGAACAACTTAAAGTAAAGGATAGATTGCTTAAACAAATACAACAGAGATGTTTGCAATATTTTGGAGACATTGCTAGAAGAACAGTTACGATGGAAAAACTGATAGTCGAGAGTAAAGTTGAAGGAAAGTGACCTAGGAGAAGATCTCCAAGCCATTGGGTAGATCAAACAAAAATATTAAATAACCAAGGGTTACATGATGCCAAACAACTAGTCAAGGACTGGGAAGGATGGAGGGAAATCGTGAAAAAACCGTAAAGGCCTGATGGTGTCACCACATCACAAAAGAGATTAGGACTGAGGAGAAGGAATATACAGCTTTCAAACTTAGATGCTGAAAAAATGAGATGCACAGAAATTGGAGGGTTCGGAACAGATTTTGTTCAGATGTGCAGGAGATGACAGGTAATAGGTATAACATAAAGATATAAATCATATTACAAATGAGGAAATATTGCAAATATTAAATAAATAGCAGAAGTAGTATACAACGTGAAAAGAAAAAAAAGTAGTAACTTGGTCATAATAAAAGGAACAAGATATACATACTATTTGATAAAAAGATAAATGGGAAGAACAGTGTTAGAAAAAGAATAAACTTTTGACTTAGAAATTTAAAGAAATGCTTTAATATGAGCGAAAATCAATGACTTGAAAACAGTAAATAAAGTGAAATTAACCAACTTCCGATAGAAGGAAATTTAAGAATGTTCATTATGTACGTAACATTTTTTCGCAAAAATCTTGTAGTGCTATGAACTTTAAACTTACTATTTTCAATGACTAAATTGACTTACGC